TTTTCTATGTAATGATAATTCTAAATGCAACCTTCATTATCACTATTTAGATCTACATTATGGCTCTAATTCATTTTATTTCTATAACATTTTTTTTAATTTGATAGGTTGATGTGCTGCCCATAGATGGGACCATGGCAAACAATTTCTCGGCTGTGACACCGGTAATGACCGTGCACCTAGACACCGAGGAAGACTTCCTAAAGCCCGTCACTGTCACCCTGCCCTGGACATGGAAAAGCACCTGTGACCTGGGCAGAACCATCCTGATGAAAAGGTCCACTGGTGACAATGATGAGTGGACGGCATTAAGCACCGATGCTCGAGAAACCAAGGACACGATCACCTTCACAATGTGTCACTTTTGCAGGTAACACACTTATCTCGATAAAAAAATCAATTAAAATGTTTGTTTAATCGAACAGGAGTAAATTTTGAAAACTAAGTTGAGAAGTAATGATTCGTCAAGCAATATGTTGAATCTTTTTTCGTAAACTCAACTGTTTTAGCGTTGTCGGTGCCAAGAAAAAAGACAACTCTGAAGAAGCCTCCACCTCTGCTGATACAAGTACAGAAAAGCAGGACGAGGCGGCCAATCAAGAGGCAACTGAAGCTATAGAAGTCCTTGTAACAAGGTACAGTGACGACAAAGTGCATCTCATTATCAGTCCCAATGAAGCAACGACAGACGACAAGCGCATTCACCTGCTGTGTATCGAGAAGGGCAAAAAGTCACGGAGTATTTCAGAGCAGATAACTTTTAAGACACCACCGCCGTTCCGACAAGAGGTCACCATGGACAAGAAGGAGAGAATCCGTGCGCGGTTTGGTGAGGAAGAAGACGTCATTGGAGATCCACGTGACATTCCGCCGGAGCCGCCCGGTATTCAGTTCGTCTTCCCGCCGGCGAACTGTAACCGAATCTCAGTCAGACTGAAGCTGCGAGATCCGCAGATAGGAAAGGGGAAGTTTGAAGGAGCAGTCCATTTCACACTACTGTCACAAGCAGGTGAACCAGTGAGAGACCCCATCCGTCGGATAAATTCAGCCCATGTCTACCTGCACTCTCTGCAAGGTAGGTGCTGTTTTTATGTATATACTAGCAAGCGTATAAGGTACTTGGTGAAAAAAAGGTAGACAAGTCACATAATTGATCTTGAAACAAAATAGCCAGTTATATGAGCAGAGCGTCCCAAATACAACCAAAGAAAGGTACTTGTAGTTAAATAACGTTTTTCATTTTAAGGTAGATCATTGGCTTCTTGTTTTCCTGTACTGGTTATTTGTGTATGGTAATGAAAAGTATGGTACAGAGAAAAAAAACAAAGTTGAACTCCTTTGTGCACCCCACTAACTATGAATTGTCCTTTATTTAAGCTGTAAACATTTTTCTTATCGTATGTCCACTGCAGATGAGGGGAAGACAAGTCAGGTTCAGCAGAAGGAAGGCACTGTGGTCACCATGACCAAGGCGTCCCAGATACAACATGAGAAAGGTAAGATATAAGATGATAATTTTGTACCATATTCTAAATGCTTTTTCACCTTTGCCTGAGAATTATCATTCCATAGGACGGTAGGTCAAACAAGAAAACTGAATCATATGGATAACATTACATGGCGTATGTTGCTTGACAATCTTATATGGATTACAGGTGTAAAGAGGAAAGCCAAAACTCGGCATGTTAGCGAGTCCAGCGACAGTGGCCCCCCGGTAAAACGTCCGAAGCAAGGTATGGATGAAATCCTACATACCGTAAAATAAACATGTACAGAGAATGTTTCGTTCAGAAATATTATTTAACAACAATTATTTACCTTATTATTTCTAAAAAGTGCATACATACGACACAGTAACCCAACTAGGTATTCAGCTAATAAGAAATTCAGAAATTTTGGAACAACAGTCGGTATCAATCAAAAGGACATTCAAGCAAGTGTCGTTTCATGGCACCTGCATCTTATCCGTCATAACTCAAAATCAATTTATCTTAACCCTACCTAGACCGGGCTTTTTTTGACATGGGGGGACCGGGGGGGGGCTCTTTTGACCCCCCCTAAGAACTCGCGAACGGTATGTCGTATGACCACCAAATTTTCAGAGAATAGTGTACTAGTGAAAATTTATCATATCTACAATTTTTATGTCGTTATGACGTAATATGACGTCATTATGGCGTCATTAATGATTTTATTGGCCAAAACCGTCTAAATAGGTTTTTCCCTGAAAACTAAATGGTATTAAACATAACTGTACCAAAAGTGTTTATGACAGAATATTATGGTGTACTAAGTCTTATGTTGCCCATAGCAACACCGGTGACGTCATAAAATGACGTCATGCTTATTTAATATATCCGCCATCTTGGATCATCAATCTTGAATTTTCAAAAATAGTTTTTTTTCATGATAAAGCCTAAAATACATTGTAAACATACTAAAGACCTTCATTTAAACCTTTTTTGGAAAAAGAAATGGAAGTATTGATGAAATTTTAATGAAAATAACCTGTATATACCTGTTCTAATGATATGGTCCGCCATCTTGGATTTTGGCCAATGACGTCATCAAATTAGCATAAATTATGCACATTTAATGACAAAATTTACATAAAATTATATGGGATGTTATTAATATTAGAAACCATGAGTAACTTGACATAAAACCCATAAAATTCTATTGTTGAAACAAAAAGTACTAAATTTAGCAAAAAATGCCTGTCAGAAACCCGTTGCCATGGCAACACAAAAAAATTATTATCTTATTCCATTGATTGAAAATTGTTGCCAACAATATTCTAGGAAAAGTCACCAAGTTTGGCCGTTCTACGGCTAGCCGTTCAGACGCTAGGTGACATCAAAGTTGCCGCGGGCACTTTTAGCCCCCCCCCCCCCCGGTCTAGGTAGGGTTAATGTGACACGCCTACATTGTTTTTGAATTAATTGCAGAGTTCACGTCTGTTCTGATGGTTAACGATAAGTACGGCACGTCCCATGGAGGTACTTCTACCACGAATCGTCGGGTGGCGCAGTTTCTGAAACATCATGGTGCTACAGTTCATGCTACAGCTGTGCAAGCATCTGAAGAAGACAAGAGGTGCGCCGCAGAGGACGGTGTCATTCTGCATCTGCCTGTACAAAGAGCAAGGAAGAAGAAAACACCGTCTTTGGAATGGTTAACCGACTACCACAGCTTCCACTACCCAGATATACCAACAGATCTGAAGTGCATTGTGGGCCATGCAGATATCACAATTGGAGCTGCAAAGAGCATTCAAGAGAACCGCTGTGAACGGGCTAAACTAGTCATTTTCAACCACGACATGCCAGAAGAGACGGAGTACTACATGGGGACTAAGAAAGCGATGGCCGCGGGGAGGAAGATGGAAGACATCCTCGAAGATACAAAGAATGCAGATGCCGTGTTCTCATTGGGAAGAAGAATCTACGACTACTTCGAGACGAAGTACAGGTCACTGGGAGGAGGCAAACCAAGACAACACTTCTTGTTTCTTCCAAGACCATCTCCAGTGTTTGCAGCCATCTCTGTCATACCAGGAGGAGGAGAGAAAGTCGTGCTGACTGTCGGGAGAGTGACCGAAGTGGACAAGCTGAAGGGCCATGACCTGGTAGCACGGGCCTTGGGGGAGGTTGCAGAGAAGATCACAAACGTCAGATTGTGTGTTCGCGGAATAGATGAAGATGACTGGGAAGCGAGCAAGAGAATCCTGGAGGAGAACCTGCACAGTGGTAAGATCAAACCCACCCTGCTGCCATGTGGAACCCAGGAGGACATCGCTAAGGACATGCAGCAGGCCCACCTGGTCCTGATGCCGTCCCGTGCCGAGCCGTTCGGACTGATCGGTCTGGAGGCCATCGCAGCAGGCATCCCTGTACTCATCTCTGACAAGTCAGGCCTAGCAGACATGATCATAAACTTGGTCAGGGAGAGGAAGTGCCCTCCAGACATGAGGCACAGGATCGTGAAAACCAGCGTGAGGGAGTCCGACCTGGGTGAAGATGCAAAAAAATGGGCAGAGAGGATCGCAGACACCTTGGAATTCTCTGAGTTAGAATTTGACAGAGCAGCAGAGTACAAGAATAAGCTTCTTGAGTCCAAGTATTGGGAAGAGTCGCACCAAAGCCTGCTGAGGGTCTGTGGATTGACGGACTGAGTCTAGATCGCGCCCTTTTACCCACGTGTCAGATTCCTAATCGCTGATCCTGACGCACACAGTTAATGTCATTATTACTGTGGGTATATATTCGCTATCAAGGGGAGAGTTGAATGTGTCAACGCCGAGGAGGTACCCGCCGGTAATCAGTACTTCACCCCATTTCTGAAGGAAGGTTCCCAGCCGAGGAAAGACACCAGCTCCAAGCGTAAACCTAGCATCCTTTCAGCTGCAAACGACTGGAAAGTAAAGGCCGACCTGGATGGGGAAGGCGGTTTCCCACAGGAAATTGCTCTTACGCTATTGCGCCCTGATATAGTAATCTGGTCGGAGAGTTCTAGAGAGGTGGTGTTTGGAGAACTTTCAGTGCCATGGGAGGGCAATATAGAGGAGGCTTATGAACGGAAGTTAACAAGATATGCGGAACTGGAGGCAGTGTGCAGGGACAAAGGCTGGAGGTCATCATGCTACCCTTTCGAATTAGGATGCAGAGGGTTTGTTGCCGCATCTCTTCACAAATGGCTAAACAAGATGGGCCTCAGCAGAAAAGAAATCAAATCAACAACAAGAGCAGCAGCAGAAGCAGCGGAGGCAGGATCTGCATGGATCTGGAACAAGTACCTACTTGAGGAAAGGCGGAAGCGAAGCGACCGTTAGCATTCACCTATGACAGTCACCAGCCGTCAGGTGTTTCGAACTCTGACTCCGCTTCGAACTTCGAACGCTGCACCAGTAATGGAACAATGTTTTAAAAGTCAATCGTCAGGACTGATGGCGACAGCTCACGAGTGGGTGGTGGTGCTTTTTGCACTGCTGGCCCCCCACCCCGAGGGAATATTGAACTAAGGGCCGAAATTCCCCATGACGGGTGGCGTTCAACTGACGAACCCACTGGTGAGGCATACCACTACCATCATACAAGGTGTGTTTTTTAAACTCACAGCAAAGCAAGACTTGGCAGTGACCTCATCTATCAGTGGCCATGTACAATTTCAAAGATATACTCATTTACATTGAAATTGTCTTTTGTCTCTATACAGGCCTTTTCTATCCACGTGTTATAACATGTACGTTGCAATTAGGGCGACGTATATATATATATATATATATAGCAAGTTGGTCGTGGGCTACTTTTGTATATGTAGTCTGATGTCAGTTTGGACTTGAAATGGCCAAATGGAATTTTCATTCTCGTGTAAATTCAATTCTGTCTATAAACCTGTACCAAATGGAAAGTCGTTTAATGTACATATAAGCATGGCAAGTTATTATGAATGAAGATATTTACTGTACTTTGGAAGAAAATATAGATAAGAATCTAATGTACACGTTTTTAATTACATGTACTACATGTATATAAGTACTGGTTTGTATCCTTGATGTTGTGATTGATTAAGTTTAGCATTTGTTAGATGTTGATGTAATAGAGTGTGTTTTTCTGTTTGCCTGCTGGTATTTTGAAAATTGAAGGGTTATCCTTATCTTTACCTGTTGGTTAAAAATTTGTATCACTCATCGAAGTCCTTTCTAATGTAATTTGCAAAGAGGTTGTTTGCAAATGAGTTATGACTTTAGTAAAACTTTGTTGAAAATTTAGCCATAGATAATTAGTGTTCCAAGAAGTCCCAATGTAATTTCATATGGATTTCTGTTTTTTACAAGCTTGAGAAAATAATGGTTTAACAATTGATATTGGATATGCGTTTGTGAAGATTAATCATCCAGGAAAATACTAATAAGAAAAGTTTGAATCTTTACTTCTGGATAAAATAAGAAAATAATGTCAGACGTTTCAGACGCCGTCCGGCATCTTTCATCAGTGAAATATTCAAAATTGCGGTAGAA